TTGATTCAACTACATATAGATATTTATTATGTCATATCTTTAACTGAAGGCAGATAAATATAGTAATTGTATGAAAAAATCATTTAACTTCAAGAATTTGGGTTACTTTAAAGAAAATATCAAGAAATAATCAAAAAGTTATTTTTCTACATTAATGTAGATGTTGAACCTAAATATGAAATAATGGCTTTAAAATAATGAGAGTCCCAAAAACTCTTCAGCATCTTGTAAGGGGATGTTTAAACTTTAATTTAGGTACATGGCAACATCAAAAATAACAATTTTTAACCCGGAAATCGGCCGGCCGTTGAAAATCGTCATCTCACGAATCTGAATAGGTATGCAAAAAAATCGAGTCGGAAAATTTCTCCCACGAATGCGAGGTTTTCGCCTTGTCTAATATCAGTTTATCAAAATCAATAATTATTTTATTATAAAATTTAGTTTATAGAACATAATAGATTATTTCAATTGGAAAAACTGTGTTTTCGATTCCATTCATATGTATATTACGTACAGGTCAACTAAATTAATTTAAGCTCTGAGGGTCGGATGAGCAGTGGCAAAGTAATGGAGTAGAGAACTATAGTCATCTGCTGCTTGCATTTCCATCTCATCTTACATAAAACGGGCTTTCTTTTAGTCATGTGCATTTCAAGGCTTAACGGAAATTTGTCCAATTTGTGGAGAGTGTAAGCTGGCGTTGCGATAAACTCTTAGGGCTGATTTCCATTGTCAAAATAAACATAAAGAAAAATAAGAGTAACCTATTTTCTTAAAACGGTGCAACTCTTTTTGAAGAGGTTTATGATCCTTTAAAAATTGATAATGAAACAAGGTTCTCATCAATGATTTGGGAACTGCTTTGAAGATATAGACTATATTTGGTACAATGCAGTTCTCTCAAGTTAGACCTACGTAAAATTTGAATAGATCAATGGCTTAATGTTACTTACAATTAGTTACTTAATCTATAAACGTTTCTACACCTACCCTTCTTTTAATCAATATTAGTCACACAGAAAAGCAAATCTGAATTGATATTTTGCGACAACTTCAAAGCAAAAATTATTAAAGTAGCGCACTCAGAAACAAATAGATTAGCAATATAAACCCGCACTAGCATTATTTGTTAACACGTACAAATCATTTCAATTCAGCGCCTATAAAAATCTAATGACACGTACGCAATATAATTTACCGGAATACATATGTATAGCTTTTCTCTTGTTATGAAATTTGTACGACCGCTCGTAACATGTCGGACTTACAAAGCTGTTAAAATGTCAATAATGAAATATGACGCTGTCGAACTGGAAATGTGGTCTGTATTTTTTGCATGGGTCGCCTAAGGATTAATGTTTCAGTAGTGAGGTCGCTGGTAAAGAATTAAAGTCCCATTTAAAAAAATTGATTCGGGATGGACTCGTTTACATAACATGTACTTGTTTATTGTCCTAGAATTCATGTAGAGATTTTTTTTAGTAATAGTTGTTTCTGAATTGACTAGAGAAATACGACAGGCCTTCATTTTATATTTTCATACAAATATTCAAGACAAATGGCTGGAAGTCACTTCTGCAAACTACCTCAAGTTGAAATGGAACGTTTCTCGCTATTTGATATAGTGGCATATTTCATCCATAAAAAACTCCATTTAGAATTTATTATAGTGATAACCCCAATATTTCTTGTTTATTTTCCGAATACGTTCTCAAAAGAAGTACAAATGCGATGCTTTTTTTAAATATAAAAGATTTCAGTGTATGATGGATTGGTAATTACTTTTTTGTATTGAAAATTGAAAAATATGTTAAAAACCGAATTTTGTGAACACATTATATTTACTAATATTAAAATGGACACCGAAACTCTCATTAATACCAGAAAATAGTCTTTCTACTAGATACTTGCCTTCTGTAATTTGTGTCTGAAGTAACAAGACTGCTAATTTCGTTAATATAGATGCTACACATAAATTCACCTTAACTGGTTCTTGGCAATTTTAGTTCACATTAGCTACATTAGCGACACGTATTTGTGCTGAAGCTGCTCCAGTTTCTAAACATTTAGAAAATTAATTTTTATTAACGACGTTATTGTGTTTCTTGAAGTAATATAAGAGTAAGTATTTCCAAACAAAGAAATATAACATTTTCATTTTTTGTTGTGTTTTTAACGTTTGCAGACATACCCTTTAAAGAAACCTAAGACGGTAAATTGAAATATACAGATGGTGTGTTTATAGGAACTTTTTCTCATTTTCAAAAGTATTGCCCTGGAAGTTATTATACTATTTTTTTAGTCTAGTAGATATGTAGAAAGCATTGCATACAAAGCTCTCACTCCATACTGCTAACTTAAGGAGACATATACAATTAAACGGAGGAAAATGAATCAATTTTGAGGAATTTTTTAAAATAAGAAAAATTTATTCTACATTCATCGGACTGTAGTAGGTGTTCTTTAATAGGATAATCAAGTATAATTTTTTTTTTGAGTTCATTCCTCGTCAAAATGGCGGAGCTGTGGTAGAGAGTCACAGCAAAATACAAAAATTTTCTTATTTAAAACGTGTAGTTTCTATGTAACGTTGATAAAAATGGGAAAAAATGCAAATTTGAAAAAATGGCATAGGTACGTTTAAAGACAAAAATCGAATTTTCATGCGAAATTTCTGCAGAATTTGTAGAAGAGAAATAGTTTTTTGGTGGAAAGGGGGTGGTTTTAAAAAAGTTATGTTCTAAACTGTATTTTTCTTTTTGCAGTACTTTTTATGGGCGTACTGTGTTATTAAATAAATTCATTTGTTCTAGATATTTGGTTAATAACCGAGAACCTAATTTTATTAAACTTTTTTTGTAAATTTAATCTATTTAGTGGGCTATACGTATACCTTATCTTTTCTTACAAATTAAACGCTTTGAGAGTGTGCGAAATAAATTAGCTAGCCTAAGGGTCCTGACAGTTTAAATTTAACGTTATCAGGCAGCTAAGTGCCTCCTAGTACTATGGGAAATATATGGAACGTAATGAAACATATATTTCAATACAAATTGACTTGTTTCCTTTTATTAATTATAAACTTCCCGGAAAATATATTGCATGTCAAAAGGGTTCTAAGGGCAATTTAATGCTGTAAACAAAACTTTAAAATATAGCTTTAATTAGTTTTGCAAAAAGGTAGCAAAGTGGAATGCAACATCGTTTCCGGAAGGAATGCACTTCCTCCAGTTAACTTATTATCTAACTAGGTATTATTTTTGAGTGAATTAACTTATTATTGGTAGGTACCTATACACACCACATTTGGAGGCCAATATATTTTTAAAGTTAGAATTTAAAAATATCAGAAAGGTAATGGGCAAATTTCCATTTTATTCTTCTTACTTAGAAATGTCACCCAGTATACTTTTCTACTAGTTTGCATAGAACATTGAAAGTACATGAACTGGTGCGGACAATTAAACTTAAAATTTTCATATTTCAGTTAAATCTTAAGGATTTTATTGCTTACCTTACCTTAGTCTTCATTGATGTGGAAATTAAAAAGTTTTTCAACAGTTCTTTTTACCAACAGTCTTACACTCGGAATTTTTTCAATGTAAAGAAATAATTAAAAATCTTCCCATGAAAGCCTTTTTTTTAATTTTGTGAAATTTATAATAAGAAGACATTGTACTGTGTAAGAAAATGTTGGCTCTTATTGTTCTCATTTTTCTTCTTTCTTCTAATTAAAAAGTTGTTTTGTCAGAATTCATTCAAACTCAAAAGATAAGGAAAAATCTTTGTGATCTTTATCAGTTCAGGTACAGTCCGTACGATATACAGGGTGATTCACAAATTGTCAAAAAAAAATTGGGAATAGATGCATCATGAAAAATTGACTCAATATTGTAAAAAAAAACTTTGTAAGATCCTTATAGTTTCCGAGAAAAAAGTTACTGAAGTTGTAGTATTTACTTTACAACCCTTACTTTACTGGACTACTCTCTAAGCTAGTCTCTAGTGTTATTCGCGTTGTGCGCTGTACACAATGCGCTGTACGCAATGCGCTCTCACTCCACGTGGTCCCAGGTAATTCCGGATAGTGTTTACATTAGTTTTTCAAGTGACGAAAATGGCTTACGTGTATAGCAACTCGGAGTTGATGGACATCGTTTTAATTTATGGTGAAGCATGACAACATTTGTGTAATGATAAAGCATTTGAGTTATGGTGAAACAAGACAACTTTTGCGTTCGTCTGTAGAAACTGGGTAAGACGGGTCCAAATGTGTTTACACGTGGATGGACCAAATGACAGTTCTTGTAACATCAGGTATGCCAAATTATTTTATTAATCAAAACCACAAATAAATTTTATTAACTAATAATAGCAATAGCGGCAAAAGCAGTTGAATTTGCTGATATAAAATAGGTGTTATAAAATTTTATTTATTTCTTTCCTTGGGTTAGAGTGGGCGGTAGCCGAAGCGGCCAAAGCCTGCCGATTGAGGCGGATCAAGGCTTCACGGCAAAACCGTAGTGGGTTCGAATCCCGCACGCGCGCAATGGGAATTATGGGAAAAAATTCTACGCACTCGGCTATTTTAACCGTACAGTGGTAATTTATTCTTTTTATTCTTCTTCAAATATGCTTAATTTTATGGTCCTGGTGCGATAATTTGATATATCTATATAGGAATCTTTTAAACCGAGAGAGAACCCATCAGCCTTAACACCAAAGATAATGATTCGCGATTTAAAAATAAAAAAATCAAAAATTTCGTATCTGAGGTTGATTAAACAACGAAAATAACCATGTAGCTTCACAATACTTTTCAACCTTAAACCTGAACCCAAAAGCATAACCTCAAATTCATCAAACATAACTTCAGACGACTCTTTTCTAAATCTATGGGTATAGTTACATGAAAGCTATATTTTTGAGCTTATATTTCCTAACTCTAAAGCCATAATAATGATTTTAGAATGAATATAAATAATAATATTACTTACTCAAGTGGTATAAAACCAAAGTGTCATTGTCGTCCTTGATCAGGGGGGCATTTTGAAAGGCAGCGTTAATCGGTGCAAATACTGTCACTTGTTTGTGTTTGAGGGCGAATGCTGCCAGTTGCGATAACTCCAGTTGACCATAGAACTGAAAAAAGTGTTTTTAGTATCAGTGATGACATCTTCAGATTAAAACGAGACAGATGAAGAAATATTTTTATCGAATTGGGAATGTGTTAAAATGGTTTATTTCAGTAGACATTAATTTAATTAACTTAATAGCTATAGCGTAGTGGGGTTCTGATGCTAGATAAGTAGAAATAGATACCATTATTGATTGGAAATATTTGGATCAATAATCACAGGTACAAATGTCCGTAAATCAGAAAGTTTCATACTTGTTAAAAAAAGTTATCACTAATATTTCAAGAAGAAAGAGAATATTCAATAATGAAATTTCTAATTATTATCTTAGCCAATAAAGATTGTAAGTATTTAAAAATACATTTGAGTGAAAGTGATATCGAGGTTAGTTTAATCAGAATGAAAGTTGCATTATAGATAATCTCTGGAAGTATCTGATAAATCTAAAACAAACTGATTCAACTAAATATGAAAGTAATGAAATTTGGTCACATCACATACTTAAATTTTCTAATATATCAGCTATTGCGTTTGTGAATTAAATTCCTGAAGTTTTTAATATGTCGGACACTACTATATATTTTTCATTAGGTAGTATCCCTTCCTTTATTTCTTCCTTTCTTCATAGGTTCAATTAATTAAATACACTAAGGCCCAGTACTTTGAGTCTCGGTTAAGGTTAAGTTAACTAATCAAGCGATTAGACTGTACATATTCTGTTTTTTTTTATAAAACATAATCACAATCTAATTGCCTGATTAGTTAATCAAGCCTTAACCGAGACTTAAAGTACCGAACCTAAGACCGGGTAATTTTAGTTCTGATTAAAATTGGGCATTAGTTAATGCCGATTAAAGAATAATCATTTAATAAGTATCTACTTTGAGCTACATATTAGAATATTAAGTTTAATGGACCATTAAGCCGGACTAGAAAAAATTGCAAAGGTAGCCTAGTTAAATAAAGCTGTAAAAGAGGGATAGATTTGTTTACCTAAGTAATAAATTGAGTTAGAAACCATGAAATAGAAGTTTATTATTTTTTCTGTTGGTTACGCTGATATGGTGATGGAGATCTAACGAGTGATTTCTAATCTCAAGTTTCAATCTGTGTGGCGATGTTTTGACGTTTTGACTTTGTTTTGAAAATAATTTATTATAACTACCTACTAATCTTTAAAACCTAGAGGTTGCAACAAATGTTGAATTTCTAAAATACTACATATTAACAGTCGCTTTGCTTAGTCGAAATCTTCACAAAACCCCCGATTCCATTTATTTAAATTATCTCGTCAATCTCGAACTGTATTCACGCGCTGATCGTAAATACATTGAATTAATTCGTCGTCGTCATCTTCAAAAATGTCCTCAAAATCGAGAACCATTTCAAAATAGCACAAAATTGCGTAGAATTATCCGAAATTATATTATCTGTTTCTCTGCTGTGAAATTGTTTAAATTAACGAAATAAAGAGCGCCAATCAGTCGAGTTCGACTGTAGATTAACTCAACGAGCAGCTTTAGCAGAGAGTTGGTAAGTCTGTTAATTAAACATGGAGATCGGCCATATTTAACCAAGAAACAACTTACAAAATCTATGAACTAAATTTCAATGGTTTCTTATTTATATTTAATCAAGTCTCAAAGTACCGGACCTAAATATCGTAAAGTTAAAAGATAATTGTGTTAGACTAGATTCTATTTGAGCCAGCTTTCATGGACTTACATAAATATATAACTACGACTTTTCATTATAGGAAACAAACATTCCGATTTTAGTAAATATAATTAGGAATTAGTTTTCAACATACTTCTTTTAAATGGAATATCCTATACAGATTCTGAATAAATACAGAATTTTAATAGCAAAATATGTAAAATACTACATAGCTAAACTCAGCAGTTTTGGTTAATCTGTTAAAATTCTCTGGTCTCTTTTTGCGGACACGGCAAAATGCATAATTCCATCAAAGTCGAAAAAAAAACAGTGAGCATGAATGTCTTTGAATCAATGTTTCATCGTCATTGGATTGTTCAAGGTGTTGCTGAAAAACGTCGACACGATTTTCTTTCTGTTGTTCGTTCATCAAATAAGGAACTTTGGCTGCAACTCGTTGCGACCCAGTTCAGATGCTAACCTCTTCTGCAATTTCTCCGACAGTCAATTGCCGATTGCATTCAAATAACAATACCACGAAAACTAAATGAGATGTCGCCAACCCAAGAACATGTGGTTACGAAAGAGGTTATGCGCAACACAATGCTGCCAACCACATATCAGTAAATATCTCCATTAGCGCGTAATTAAAAAAGTTCGGTTATTTTCATGGGGCCCACCTACGAAGGCTGTCCAGGCCTACACGAGATGAGGCATGATAAAGAGGGATAATCCCCCTCGATCCCAAATCATTGAGGCCAATTTCTAGCCATGGAATAATGGCGCGGTTATTTTCTGAACAAACCTGATATATAAAAAGTTATAGTATTGAATGATGAAGTAAAATAAAATAGGGAGAAAAACTGAGAATGGTAAAACCCATAGTATATTGCCTGCTACCTTAAAAGCGTTAAAACACATTTATTATTTTTTTGTTAGGAACATTTAAAATTTTGTTTGATATTTTTGATTTGGACTCCTTTACTTTTTGCGAGAGTATACAACGCTCTATGAGTACCGAAACGAGATTACTTCTGCAAAACCCTCCTACAGTTTGCCACAACGCATCCGACCTTCACCACCGGCCAGATGAAATAAGTTGAACTGTAACCTGCAATTTCGATGATAACATAAATCATTATTACAAATTTTTAACTGTCTGACATTAACTATGCAAAAGTAACAAAATCATAGACAGGGTGGCCAAATGAAAACGAGACAGAGCAATTTTCAGGAACTGCGTCAAGATTGTAGAAAAACGCTCAGACCCGTCAATTTTAGATTAAAAGGGGATATTCTTTGCTGGTATTTTTAACTCCGCCACTTTCACCCCCAAGCAAGGGTTAGCATCACCCCAAAATATTTAAATGGCATTGGGGGTTGAGTAATATTTCTTTTGAAAGCTCTTACTATTCTCTTTAGAACAGACTTTAAATTTTATAATTTCGCTCAATACTTTGAAAAAAAATTACATTTTAAAATTTAAATTATGTTTAGTTGTTTACTTACTACTTAGTTGATTAAATGTTCAAACTGATGACCGCCCGTTTCCATACAAAAATAAAGATTTTGTTCGAAACGTTCGCGCACATTCCAAAGCATTTCCGGAGTGATTCGACGGCATTCGTCGACGCAAATCTTCCAGCGACGTTGGCTGTGTTTTATAGATTTTACTTTTTAGGTATCCCCACAAAAAGAAATCAAGGGGCGATAAATCCGGTGATCGTCGAGGCCACTCAATGCTGCTTCTTCTCCTAATCCAATTTCGTAGAAAACGTTGGTCCAAATACTGACGGACAATTAACGCATAATGCGGAGAAGCACCGTCCTGTTGAAAAATCAAATGATCTTCATCATACTCTGGAACATTTTCAATAATATCAGTCAAGGCAGGGTCAATAGCATCTTCCAGTAATTGCAGATCTATAGGTTTTTCAATTTCTCGTTTTTTATTGGCTACGTTCCCTATCTCTTGAATTTTTTTTACTAATTCGAGAACATACTTCCTCCTGTCGATCTTGATGTTGTTCATTAAATAGCTGAGCTGTTCTATTCGCACAGTTATTGTTGATAAAGTAAAGCGAAATGATATCTACCCTTTCCGCAATGGAATAAACCATAGTGTTTAATTTTCAAAAACACAGTTAAATAAACTACCAACCAACGCTTCCAAATAATACTAGAAAATAATTTGGAATCCACTAATTTTACGTTCATTGTATGTGTATAGCATTCATTTCTGTTTTTTACAATTATGTTATTTTTTACGAAAGTGATAACAAATCGCCAAAAACCAATGTAACGCAAGAAATACTAAATTTATGCCATTGGCGTACTTAACTCGAATGACTGACATTTTTACCGTTACTAATTGTTTGTACATAAGTTTCAACTTTAAAATCAAAATTCTTAATAAGTATTGGGTGAATTATCAAAATTTAAAGTCTGTTGTAAAGAGAATTGTAAGAACTTTCAAAAGAAATATTACTCAACCCCCAATACCATTTAAATATTTTGCGGTGATGCTTACCCTTGCTTCAGTCAAAAATACCAGCAAAGAATGTCCCCCTTTAATCTAAAATCGACGGGTCTGAACGATTTTCTACAATCTTGACGCAGTCCCTGAAAATGGCTCTGTTTCGTTTTCATTTGGCCGCCCTGTATAATAGATACTTATTAGAGCCGTGCTTGACACTTTAACGCTCGTTTGCATCGAAGATAATAAGCATTACTTAAGTGATTCTTCCGAAAACTTATCTCATTGCATCGTTCCTTGAGCTCTTCTTAAATATGAAAAAAGATTCCTAAATTTAAGCCTACGTTTAACCGTTAAATTTTAACGGCTACTTAAGATATTGTTTAAATTAAGACGTGTTTGCAGCCTGCGCAGAGTATGTAGAAATTCAGCTGCAACTACGAAGTACGTGTGTGTGTGTGTTATAATGTCTATCCTTCGTATTTTTATTTTAAAAGAGAAACAAGAAAAATGCCATATTGAAGGTGACTTAAACATTTTAGAAATTGTAGATTATGTGTTTCCTTATACACGATCTGACCATATCCACACAACAAATGAGTTTAATTTGTATTCATTATATTCAAAATCAGTAAATCAGTCATCAATCAGTTTTTTTACAAAGTAAGGTTCTATGTTGATACGAACTGAAGAAAATGAACTGAAGGACCTAACATAAAGTGACAAAAGTTACTAGAAGCCACTAGATTTCTACGTTGCTGCCGCTATAAAGACGTACTTTACTAAGCACGGTTTACAGTTATTGTTCGGTGTAATACTCTAACAAATTAAGTATAATTTAACTTTAGAGATGGCTTTATTAAGTTGATTTT